TTTGAAGTTTGAACCATCCAAATATTGACTTTATAGCGCTATAAAAACGTGTAATATTTTATTAATAGTTTTCTGTCCGAAAACTCTTCACGCCGCGGCCAGCCACACGCCCGCGGCACGATCATTTAGGTACCTACGCTGACAAATGCAAAATAACAGATTGCAAGTGAACAACGGTGTAATTTTAAAATATGGTTTATATTATTTTAAATTTGTATGGTACATGGTACATACTACTAATACTTTCATAATAGACCATGACCATCATAGTCAACATTGTTCTTTCTTCTGTATTTTCGTCTCCTATAATACTATTATATGGACTGCAAAAAAACTGAGGGGCGAGAGCATTTTAACGACGGATATTGTTCTCATATATTACATTTTAATAATTGATATTAAATCAAAATATTCATATTATGAGTATTTTATTTAAAGAAAGGCTCGTTATTTATAAATTATAATATTATTATACACATATCATCGTCGATTATTTAAATTTATAAATCCACAAAACTAATAAACATTTAATCCAAGATTCAAATTTTTTTTTTTTTTTTTAATTGAGCCTCAACAACAAAGGTTATTGACCTTAAACATTATAATTTTTTTACACAAGAATGAATCATTAACAATAATATATGCATAATAATAATAATAGTATGAAAAAAAAGGATTGAGATATATCTAGATTAAATAATTTGATATAGTTTAGTTTCTTTTAAATAATTGATTAATTTTTCAATGTTGATTGGCTGAGGGCTCAGAGCTATTGTCTTCTATGTTGAGCTTAGCTCTGATGTCGGTGAATTAACGGCAGTGGCATTCAAATGTATATGTATACATTATACTGTTATACAACATTCTAACGACCTTCAATTAACCATTAATTATAAAATATTTATTTAAAGTTCAAATTATATTTTCAAATATCTAGGTAATTTGTTTATTTTTAAAATTAATTGAAGTTTTCCATTATAAAATATTTTAACTAGGTGTACGATAAAGTAGTAAAACTGTTGTTAACCTTACGGAAAAATAGGAAAAATAGAARAATGGTGGCTTTTTATACACTCTACGTATATTTTGTAATGTATATTATTTTTTTTAATTCCACATCATGACATAATTAACTGTGGAAATATGACATTATGACACTCGCATGAATAAATTTAAAATATGTTTTTTTACACCAGTAACACTTACTAACAATTATTAGCAAAATTAGTATATATTTTGAAGAAAAACTATAGTTACCTACTCGTCTATTCTGAATTATAAAAAAAATAAAATATATATTTTAAACCTTGACCAAAAATCCAAAATTATTTTACATACCTATTCAATGAGTGAACGTTCTATATCTATATACACGTCAAAAGCCTACTATAAATAGCGACGAGCCGTAGTAGTTGGTGCCTTAATCCATTACGCTTAAATGATCCGTTTAATGTATAAATGTGTAAAATATTAGTATGGATGTTATATATAGATAGTCAAAATGCGCGGTGGATCAAACACCTAACCATTTAAACAGCTATAGAAGTCYTAATGAAGAGATACTATAAGGACACAAAGTATACCTACATACAATTAATTTAAAAACGTATTCTGCAATAAAGTCAAAAATATGAATTTTCACGACAAAAAATTTCTTCTTTCATTTTAAAAGTGAAAATTATAAAACTTCATATTTTATTAACGCAAATGACACGGCATGTATAATATACAAACACGGTAATTATTATGACGTGATCTATACGATTATAAACACTGTGAAAAGGGGTAGTCATATTTAAAATTTTACTTCCCAAACGACCGTTGACCGTCTCCGAGTATTTCTATACGTCTACTCGACGATTATAGTTTATTATTATTATTATTGCATAGCCTCTGATTACACGGCCGTCTGTTAACGGGATAAATAAAAAGTCCGACAACACAATATATATTTATGCGTGTATAATATCATACATGGACCATTATAAAAGGCTTCGTATAGAACTATAGAAGTCAAACCCGTATAGAGCGGGCAAAGGAAATTTAAAAATGCGCTCTGCAAGAGAAGTGGTGCTGTGGTATAGTGACGTGAGAAGAAAACGTTGCAAGCCACTCGAACATTGTCCACGTCCAATGTATATTATTATATAATATTTTTAGCACCATAACACTGTACATATATCTAATACCTTTATGTATAAAATGTGTCTACTACATGTGTCAGTAATTGATCGCGTGATATGTATACCTATGTATGGCTTTGTGTATATTTAACCGCATGTGTATTATATCTATGTGACTATGTCTACCACCCTATTAATACTAAAACATAGCGGGTGGTTGATGAGCTTTATGAATATTTTAAAAGAGATGTATAATACACCTGCGCATAAGGTCATCGTATAGGTAGATCGCTCGAGCGACAATCTCAGAACCCCAGTTCACCATCGTCTTGTAATATATATCAACATACCGTCACTATAAYATATTATATATTATATACTCGACCCACTTTTTGAGCCTTGATGTAAAATGTTTTATGTACGCATAATAAATAATATAATATGATATTTTTTCTTTTAATCCATTAATTTTCCTCCATTTTTCATCCAAACTAAAAACGGATAGCTATTATCAACAGATCATTATTGTCCCTCGTGGCACAATCGTGCGAGARCGATATGTTAACACAGGCTGCAAATTATATATATATTATATATAATATTATGTACCTACAAACGGTTGGGACTATGTTAATGGCGAAGAGGTAAGGTATCTTAGGGCGCCAAAATCGACATTTTTATAGGCCCTAACTTTTTTCTTTATTTGAATGTTGTATAAATATTAGTTTCGACAGTTAAGTATTAAATAAAGGAACATAAGTGAACAGTATACAATACAAGTTGATTACAAAGGAGAAATAAATTACAACCATTTTATAAAGATAATATTAATGATAAAAACTTTACGAACTTATATATTATAGCATAATAAGAACGAATACCAGTTATAACAGTAGTATTTAATGGTGAGATTAAATAATGAAAATAATGAAATGAAATGCAATACATACGTGGACGTCATGCAATTAAAAGTAATCACGATAGTAATAGATTTAAAATCATTGAGTATTTTATTTATTTAAATCCTCTGATTGGCTATTGTTAAGTAATCGGTTGGTGATGTGGAGTCATCAAATTAAATAAATTAAACTYCTTTTGTTACTAACGGCATTGACTTAAATATTATACAATTAATTTACGGAAGTAGAATTTAGTGAAAAAATTAAAGTTGAAAAATATTAACGAAGAAACTTTAATTATATGTACCTTTAAAACAATTTCGTGGATGTTAAAATTTCTTTAAAATATTAATTTTAAAATGTCCTAATAAAACGGAAAAAGTTCTTTATCTCTATTAAAAATAGTAAATACTTAACAATTATTTTCGGTCATCATTAGCTAATGCAAAATTATCAGTTCTATCAATATTATAAAGTGAAGATAAAGTTGCAAGGAATATAAACTAGATAGCTCTACTTTCATTATTTTCAAAATGTATAGCTAAAAAATTATACCTATTATACATGTATACTTTTTATAACTTATATAGGYAAATCGTTATTATTATTTACTATTAAATATGCTAATAAAAAGCCAATTCCCGAACATGTCAAGCAGTTTTGGCGCGTGTAGAGAGATTTAAGCGTATATGTATAGACATTCTAAATCTCAGTTTCCTCAGAAATAACATGAAAAACGTCTAGGTGAACTGCAAATGTTCAAATATATATATATATACTACCATATGATTGACCCCCGGGATGCCAACGCCCAACGGCAGTACATAATATTATTAGAGCACAGAATAGATTGATCTAATAGATTTAATAATAATAAACTCGATTTGTGGTATTTGCACTGCATAACATTTCGGTTAAGTAATTTCTTAAGATATCCAAAACAGTTCAGCGTTCAGCTGTGTGGCCTGTGTGCGAATTTTTACCTATCATTTCTTCGCGACAATAATATTATGTTTACCGTCGTGTAAATCGCAATATACTTCCCATATACCCATACAACCTACGTTCTACAACGCTTATAGGATAAGGTAGGTACTTGTAGTTATACATGATATCTTTCTATACGTAAGTGGTAAGTGCATCGTGCGTCGGCGGATGACGTCACGGCTGACGGACAACAGCTCAAGTGGTTATAGTAATATTGCGAGAAAAAAAATGTCACTAACTTACACGTCATTATAATACATTGCTTTACCTGCCTATCATTAACGCCTCTGTAATTGTCCGCCATCAAAAACTACACCTATATATAGACTAGTAGACTACTTATACACTAAAACATTATACATAGGTTTATGTCGGTAGGTATACTTAATACTTGTATTACATATAGTATTGACAATTATTGACACTCGCTATATTAGTAACTCATACTTACATATTACTATTACTACCAATCCATGACGATTGCCGCTCGCCGAATTTCCGCGCAGTCGATGGCGATCGATCAGTGACATCGAAATTTGCGTGTTTTCCCAAAAGAAAATACCGACACCGAACATGTAGTCGTCGTAACTGCAGTTCAACGCGACTTCAACGAACGAACGAAACCGATCCCAGTTGAGAATTTGAGATATTATGACTTACGGTTACGCGWTAAAAGGAAAACRACGAAATTATTAAACAACAATTATGATACTATTAATTTATTATACTATATATAAAGTATACTAATTATACTTATAGATATTAAATAATATAGAATTGTCAATAGCTGCAGATGATAGGTGGATAATGGATAATACAATAACATGGACTGCAGCATAAACGACTCGCCGAATTAACGCGCCAAATGAGACGACGGGTGGTTTTCTTTTCTAGTCTATATTTTGTTTCCAGGCGACATTCGCGATTGGTCAAAAACCGCGACGGTAATTGCAAGAATTTAATTTCATTATTATTTTTTTTTTTTTTCCAGGCGTTTGCCGACACCGTCCCGTACGTCCAGACGCCGTCGTGAATCTTGTACATACAACACCATCACCGTACCACGAAATGTAATATTGTTTATTGATAATAAAATAATCGTTTTATCTGTTTTCCCGAGCGTAATTTATTGTGTAACAGTACATGTTTTTCCATATTGCATCCAAAACGCTGCGTGGAGTAGACTTAGGCGAATTGTTTTACTCGGACTTTTTTTTTTTACTTCGAACTGTTTGGTCTTTGGTAGACTACCACCCGGAGCCGGTAGGCGAAAGGCGTCGCTTGAGTTTGGCTACCTTAGCCAGTTGTAGGTGAAGAGCTCTATACTATTGTTACTTTAATTAACAACGTTAAGTTTATCTGTTAGCTGATCCGTCTGCCCGAATGGCAGGGATGCTTGTCCCCCCAACGACCCCAAAAGGGGTACCCCTCTCCCTTCCTCCACAGTTTGGCCATTTTAGCCCCGGGGGGTTTAGAGGTAGAGCCCCCATCTATCGAGTTTGGCGACCGGAGCCGTTAGGTGAAGGGGTCCATTATAATATTATACTTAGGTACCTATGTTACTTTAACTTAGCGGTACAAATAAYGATGAAGAAACTGATATTGTTTATTAATATGTTATATAATATATAAAAATATATTATATATAAAAATATGTACCTAGATAAAAAATCAAAATTCGTTATAGACGCTGCATGTGGCAGASGGCAGTAGATACATGTATTGTGCGCAGGCGTATACACGTAAAATCGCAAACTTGGGAAAGCTATATCTTCCAAAATCATAGTTTCCACAAATGTGTTTTTGCACCATCKTTCTTCATTTGTAGAAACTAGAAATACATATGATTTGATAAAAATAAAATCAAAAAAAACATGCTGAGTAGCTAAAGTGAATTTGTTTCATATAACGATATAACCATACAGCAACAGCAACGTAAGATATTGTGCAAAATTAATTTAAAAAATAAACGAAACTTTTTTTATACAATATTTTATGCTTATATTTTAAAAGTAATCTATGTTTGCTAAATTGGTGCGATACAGATATATTATAATGCTCTGGAAAACAAATTTACAATTTTAGGGGAGGGAAAGTGCCCTGTCTTGTCTCTCCTGGGGACGCCAGCTATGAGGATGTTTATGCGCTAAAAATACATAAATATGCGTGAAAAATTTAAAAAATATGCATTAAAAAACTAATGAAATGTGAACATAAAAAAATGTCATAAATATAGAGACAAATTAAATTACTAATAGAATATAATCMAAACTTTTTATATTGTAAAGTACCTAAGTTATTTACTTAGGTATAACTGAAAAGCAAGAAGAACGAAAATTTTTGAGTGATTTTATTAAATTCAAAGCATGACAAAACATGAATTATGAAACGCACAGTATACTCTGCATCACTCATATACTATAGACGAGGCAATCAACTATAAATTATTAAACGTTCTGCTAAAATATTTGATAAAATTGTAATGATATCATGTTATATGATTGTCACAAACGACGAGGGTTATAGAAAAATTCTATATAAGTAGGTACCTTTACTCCGTATAATTAACCACATATTACATATAACCATATTGAATTCTCAAAAATAAATACCTAAGTGATAATTTGTTTGTATAATATAATCATCAATGAGTTTTGGTTAGGTCCAATTACGGTATTTTTTAGAATTTCGCATTGAAAACCGTGCGCTTAAAACARAAATAAACACAAATGATGCACTTGTAAATAAAAAATCATAAAATATGCAAATATAAGCAGAATACGATTTTGATATTTTGAATATAGATACCATAAAACATATTTCTATATAAGTTATAGGTACATCCTAACCTAATTATTAAGTTTCCGATAACATAGGCACATAGATAATAATGATAATATACCTACATATTTACTACATTTTAGCCAAATCGAAAATGGATACTTTTAGTATCTACCCCCTAATAATTGGGAGAATTTAAGTTCCTACAAAGAAAAAATAGGTACATAACATGTAAGTTCCTAGACTTTGTATATTATTATATATGAATATAATATATAAGTTATAAGTTATCAATCTAACATCAGTTATATTATATGATATTGGCATAAATTTTAATATAATAATAATAATAATAATACAAATAATTCATAATTGTAAAAAATATAAAAGTAGGTACTGCATTCTTTATAATAATAMAATTTTTAAGTTTTCAATATTAGTTAGTATTTTCTAGATGTGATTTAAATTCCCAAGTATTTCTTGGAACTATTTATAGGCATTTGAAATTGTCGACTATTTTAGTTGCTTTTTAAATTTTGAGCAAATATTTATTATCTCATTCAAAAAAAAAACTTATGTATTGACTTAATTAATGTGATATAATATAATAAAAATAAATTATTAAATAATATACCTAAGCTATGTACCAATTTATATTTTGGTGACCAACAATGATGAGGTACCTACACCATACAATCTAAGACCAAGTATTTTTGATCATAAATACTATCATATTAATATTATTTATAAATTTTAATCAAACCAATTTAAACATTTTTCAAAAGAACAAAAATAAAAAGTATTAGACTGTTTTTTTAAAAATGAATTATTTGACATGATTTGAACAACTTTTTCATTGTGAATCAACACTTTTAAATTTTGTTTTTAGAMATTCAATCATTTAATTTTAAATATAAATTTCTTTGAATCAATATTACACCTGATTTTAAATATTAATATAAAACTGTACGCCGTATAAATTTTTCTAAATACTCTATCTTTATTTCAAAATACAATTTAGGCACAATAAAAAGACAAATTAAATAATTATTTGGCTAGGACTTGTTGAAACATTATACATCTAAGTATATACAATATTAAATGACAGTTAATACTAAAATATTTAGTATAAATTCAATAACTAAAATAGTATATATGAATTTAACGTCAGGACATTTGTAATAAATATATTATTATCTATTATATCATATTAAATTTCAACAAAAACAAACTATTTAGTATCACATAAATTATTATTAATGATCTAAATTTTTATACTTTGATATCATATTGAACTATATAAAAGAGAAACAAACTGAAATTAAAATRCAGATTTAAGTTAGATCCCATCATTAAATTATACATTTGTAGACTGTACCAGGTATTCAAATACTTTTAAATTTAAAAAAATTAATTTTATAGCAATAAAAAGTTAAATTCTGTTATATATTAAAATAGAATAAAGTAATTGAGATATTATTTTATATAAATTAATGAAAGTAAACAAATTAGGAGCAAAATCAACTATTCTAAACATTTCAACTTAATATAACACAATTGCAATAAAAATTTTMTTGTTTCTCTTCTAATTGAAAAATACAATAAAATGAATAACAGATGATTCAAAAATATTAAGACATAGACTAATACTTGAGAAATATATGTATTGTATATATTCTACATAATATAACAACTTTACTTAACATGGGTCCTGAAATCATTTAAAACTGAATTATATTAAAAAGAATTTAAATATTTCAAATTTTAATTATTATTTAATATTTAAAAAAAAAGTATATTAAATTTAAAAAAACATTGTATCTAAATAATAAATTCTTTCTATAGATTATATAAGTAAATAAATGAACTATAAAACATGATAAAATAAATATAGTACACATTCCAAAAGTTAATATTGCTAAAATATTTATGCAAATTTCATCAATGAATAGCGTAAATAAGAGAACTCATTGTAATAATATATTAATATATTGTAATGATAAAAGGTTACATCATAAACATCTATAATTCTTTTAAATATTGAGGCTATTTATGTATACACATTTCAAAGCTCGATAAGTAGGTACTAAAAAAACAATAGTTCAGACAATAATAAAAACTTTCTTAGTAAAAGCTGGAAGTAAAATTAGAATAAATTAAATTGAATTTAATCTGTTAATTTTTTAATAATTCAATTAACAGAAATTATTCTATCATCTATAATAATAATATAATGGTTAAAAATGTGATAAAATTCAATAAATAAGTTTATATAAATGCGGAATGTCCGTTAAAAGAAATAATATTATGTCTAGAACATACATATGTATATTTTAAACKGTTTTAAGTCTATAATAATTAAAATATAATTTTAACAATAATGATGAAAGTTATTAAAATAACTTAAAACCAAATAAAATTTTTAATTATTAATTTCAATAAATAACAAACAATAAAATAGATATAATGGTGATAATAAGACTGAATTAGTTGCATTAAAAAGCTAGTTTAAAAATACTTAGGAAATKATTTTTAAACGATGAAAATACTGACAAGTTCTTACAAACCTATAAGTACTAGATTTTTTTATTAGTATTTTAACTCTATGATAAAATTTAAAAATCACGATTTAAAAGGCTACATTAGTAATACTTTGGAAAAACATAACAGTGTGATGCGTGGAAGATTTGGACAGATTTATTGACTTAAGGCAGACAAGTTGTTGAGGAAGTCTTCTGGAGTTAGAACATGTGATGAGCCTTCAAACAAATAATAAAGTTTAGAAGAGCACAAGTAATATAAGATTATAAGACAATAATTATGTCATAGAAATCTTACCTATTATAACCTCCCAATTTTTGAAGTTATTAGTGACTTCATATGCACACCTGATCTCAGAAAAACTTACTCCTCCAATCACAAACACTATCACTCTGGGCACGTTCTTTATTAACTGTTGACCTTTATCTTTATGCCAGTGTCCATATCGTGCACTAGAAAAATAACCGATGTTTAACAGTGAGAAGTAATGGAAGTTTGGTTACAAAACAATTTCTTGAATATACAATGAAATATCACAGTGATACTTGTTAATTCAAAAAGAWGATAACTTTTTTGAAAACTCCAAATTACTATTAACTATTAGGACTATCATAATGTAAACTAAAATAAAAAACTTATTGCAAATTATATTGAAATGATTTTGAATTACAAAAAAACATACATTTAATAGCAGGGGACATAGGCATAATTTGTAACCAATTTAATTAACTTCAACAAATATACCAAATATTAAATACATACCTAGTTGGYGCATGATATCCAGATGAAGC